CCAACACAAGTTATAAATTCGGGCACCGCCGGGAATCGAACCCCAGACCCCAGGATTACAAGGCCAGCGTTCTAACAGCTGGACCACAATGTTATCTGAACAAAAAATCAGATTCCGAAGATGGCTGTCTTCTGGGTTGTAGCGCCGTACTGTCATCGCCCTGATGATGGAAGCAGAAAGGACCTCCGAAACCGTTCACTTCTACCAGCAGGCTGTACGGCGCTACAACCCGGAGGACAGCCATCCTCGGACTCACCGCCGTGGAAAACCTCAGACCGTACGAATCCGAGAAGTGAACTCGTAGCACGAGGAGGCTTTGGTGGTTTCTTCATCTGAATTGCCTGAGAACAGAGCAAACCTCTGAGTTGTGTCGTCTGAAACGTCGACGGGGGTTTGGAAATTGAGGCTCCCTGGCAATCGCCTGGGTGAACTGAGGAAACCCACGAGATTGCGGACGTGTTGTGGTCGAAACAAGGCCAGGTCGATGCAGTGGGACGGAATGGAATGTCGACTGTGGGACACGACGTTATGTGACCGGCCGGGGCGCTCCGAGAATAGACCCACAGAGGCCGAGCTCTGTTTTCCCCGTTTCGACACACTTAAAACGTTAAACCTTCTGGCGCCACGTGACTGACATTACATTTGCCTACTAAAATGTCTGTTACGGACGTTTCGGCAGAATATGAAAATACCTCCGTCTTCAGTGTAGATATTTGAAGATGACTGTGTTCAGGGTTGTTGCTCCGTGATAGAACTTTACCATCGTTTCGGAGGCCATTACTGCTTCCATCGTCAGGGCGTTAACGACAGTAAACTTCAGACTCATCGCCATGGAAACCTCAAATCCTAGGTAGAAGGGATGTTTTCATGGACCGTACCCCCTTTAAGTTTTCGCCATATATAAAAATCAAGTGACTTAGGATCGGGAGAAGTCTAGAGACATCTCGCCCCCAAGAGGTTCTTCTCAGAACACAAAATGGCCGCTTCGTGCTCACAAACAAATGCGTGCTGCAAGTCGTAAGTTTACTGACTCAACAAAGTCACATGAGATATGACGTAAGTGCCGTGAAGTGATTCATGAACAGCATTGAGGTCACGTGACGACCAGATTCTGGTGTTGTGACTGTTCACGTAGGTACTGAGGCCAAACCAGGCTTTGTCCACAGTTTCCACGCCATTTTTGTTGTCTGCGCGTTTAGCGTCGTCAGTTGTTTTTCAGTTCTGGCTTTGCTGTTATTCTCAATGGATGTGTTTCTTTCCAATATTATAATCGCTCGAATGAGCTGAGGTCTCTCGCCCGCATACTTTTTCGTGTTTTAATCGTTTAATCTTTTAAAGGAAACAGAAAGATTCTGAACTATGTTCAATGTAGGTGACTCCCGTTATACGCGGTGGATGTGAGGATTGGAGACTGAGTCCGGACTTCGACCCCACCACTTGGCTCTTGGCTGTCCGTTCTGTTGCCGACAACAAATTTAATTAATTATCGTCCTGATAACGGAGGCAGCAAGGACGTTCGAAACGTTGGTGAACTACTCCTACCAGGCTACACGGCGTTTAAACCAAGTTGACAGCATTGAGAAGCTCACGTTTTATGTACAGACCATTCCGAAAACATGTCGTAATGCTGATTGGTGATTACTCAGCGGCTTGGTTGACACTGTTACAGTTAATTATTTATTGTTTTGATGCCTGTAATTTTGGAAATCACGGCCCTGATTATCTGGATTTTAAGGAAGTTTTTCTGTACGTCGTAAGAAAATTTTTCCGGTCACAGCGAGATCATGAGGTTTACAGGGATTCATCTCAATACTCCTCGTGTATAATATGTTAATTTATGTTCGTAATTCTAAGCGCGTATTCTGTAACTTTCTCCTGCCGAGTAATCAAACCCTTCAGTAGACTGGCCGAGAGGTCTGTGGCGTCGCGATGCCCTCTTCGGCAGCGTCTAGACGCTCAGAGTGGAATGTAGTCGCATCGATTATCATGTTAGCGCTAAAAGGTGTTTTGGCACGTAAATTTGGAACTGCGCGTTAAATTCCTCCGAATTTATTAGAAACTGCTGTAATCTTATTATATTATAAAAATTCATGTTTTGTAGTTAAAAATGACGTCATCAAACAATGCTACGTTACATTTGTTGCGCTGTGCGGCCTTGTAGAAATCTACCGACGTTTCGGATCTTTTTAAATATTAAATTTAATGTTGTTATTCCAACTGATATTCGATCCTTCTACCCGGTTTTACAAGCCAAAAATTATGTACACATTTCTCATGTACCCATTGAAATTGCGTCGTAGCTCGTGTCTCCCGGCCTCAGCGACTCTAAGCAATGTTTTAATCTGAGCCCCGAGGAAGCTAAATTGAGTATACGGAGAAGCAGACCCTTCGTTCCACGTTTAATTTCTCTAGAACAGGGGCAGGCAGGCAACCCGTTACATGATTCAGAAATCGGCCATTTTGAAGGCAAACATTTTCATCCACCGTGGAACGCTGATAAGAAAAGGCATTGAAGAAGCTTTAGGGCAAACAATCTTAAAAGAGAAGTTACTGTGACAAATGCAGCATTCGTAGCTGTACGCCTTTAACGTCGAAGTCCCGTTGTAAAATATTGTTGACCTTGGAGACTAGAATCGGATTAGATTAGATTAGCTTGGGGGCGAGTATAAACAACCCGTGCTGTCTGGCCAGCCATGATGTGACGTGTGTCCCCATCTGACAGAGCAATCTTGCACTACGAACTGAGGTAATGGTTTATATTTGGCTAGGTTTTAAAGTCTAAAGTCTATAAACAGTTTTAAGACGATGGCACTCAACAATGGACGTACTTTGTAAGGGCAATCTGTGTGTAATTATTATGCGGGGTTTACTTCATACGAACCAACGCTGGCAACTCGACACCGATCGCAGCGACGCGTATCGTCCTGAAGCCGAAACAAGATTCGGAATTAAGCGTACGAGCGACTTATGACATCACGTCTTCTACGTCGAGGGACCGGATGCCTGTCGTGTCGACGCCGTCAAGATTCCGAGCGAAGGACGCCACACAACACGATGCTCGCCGTTTC